CAAGTTCCTTCTCTTTGGCCCATCCTGCTCACCAAAGCACCTGTAGCCTGGGCATTTAATCTTCCCTGCTTCCTCTGGTGCCAGAAGCCTGGTGATGGGTAACTCAGCCAGGGCAGGGTGCCTCTCCTGGAAAAGGCCTGCCTTCCTGTGAAGGAGAGCACCCTCCGCAGGATGTCAGAAGGACATGCAGGTTCCTTGGGGAGGAGGAAGTGGGTCCTTCTAGATGCTGCACCTAGTGACTGTGGGGAGCCACAGGTCCTAAGAGGTCCTCTGCTGTGGCTTCTTGGGCTAAAGAATAAACAATAACGCTGCATCTGACTCCTGAAGTGTCTTCTGGCTGTGATGGTTACTTCTAGGTGTCAACTTGACTTGTGTTGGCAAGAACCTTGACACTTGCAAAGCATTATTTGGGTGTGTCTGTGATGGTGTATCACAGAGATTAGCATGGGAGTCTGAACACACTTGGTGAGGACGATTCACCCTCAGTGTGGGTGGGTACCATCTAGTTAGCTGGGGGCCCATGGAGAACAGATATGGAGGGTGAATGGGTCTCACTGGCAGCTGGGATGGACACCTTTTCTGCTGCCTTAGACACCAGGACTCCAGGCTTGCTGGCCTGTAGGCCCCAGGACTCACACTAGTGACCCCTGGTTTGAGAACCAAGGCTTCCTGCCTTGGACAGAGAGTTCCAACATCAGCTTCTGTTGGAAGCTTCTGGCCTTGGGACCTGGTCTGAGCCATGCTCCCTGTATCCAAGGCCCTGTAGCTTGTAGCCAGCCTGTCACGGAAGTATTCAGTCACCATAATTGCACGAACCAGTCCCCCTGGCATATATTTGTGTGCTTCTCCTATCGGTTCTGTCCCTCTGGAGAACCCTGAGCCAACGCACTGACACTGTTCTCCTCCACATCATGACTTCCACCCTCACTTCTTCATCGGCATCCTTTCCACAATGACATTAACAATACTCCTGTCATCTCCACTGCCTCCACAGATGACACCCAATGTCACCTCCCCCGGATTGAACTTATCCTCGCCATTACTACGATTGCCATCTCTCCCAAGCCCATTTTCACCTCTCCCAGCATGATTTCTATTGTTCACATCACTGCTGTTGCCAGGATGTTCACCACCTTCGCCTCCGCCTTTGCCATCTTCCCAGCTGCAGGCGCCTTGGCTTACCATAAATTGAAAATGCTCTAAGTTGGAACACATCTAGTGCATCTAACCTGCAAAGTGTCATGGCTTAGCTAGGCGCATGCTCTAGAGTGTGTGCTGTCTCCCCCTCACCATCCCATGGCCGATGGGAAGTTGTGTCTGGCGGCTGCTTCCCAGCATCATGAGAGAATATGGCGCTGCAGATGGCTAGCTTGAGGGGCTATCAAAGTTCAGATTGTGAAGCGGGATTTTTCTACTGAATGTCTATCACTTTTGCACCACTCTTTAAAAGATCATGTAGAGAACCATCAAAAGTTGAGGAGAGCCTATTCTCTGGCTATCATTTCTACCCTTATCTTTCCCATTACCTCCACCTTCCCCATTGCACCATGGTCTCCTCCAAAGCTTAGTGCCTAGCACTGAATCTGACACTGGGATGAGGCACCCAATCAGAAAGGAGCATCCTGTCTGGTTGACAGATGCGCCCATTCAGACCTCTCAGAGCGGAGAATCAGCAAGCCAGGTGTCCAAACAGTTCCTCCTCTTGACCTGCAAGGCGACCCTTCCTGAGGATGCTTCTGACAGGAATTGATTCGACCCTCCCTTTCAGCCATGCTTATACCTAAAGAGACAGCTGCTGTCTGGTTGAAGGATGGAGGCCATTAATCCGGGGCTGCCCTTGTTTGCATAATGATGCATATATTTGCATCTCATTTATTCCCAGCCTCTGAGTGCTGCGCTGTGGGTGTCTGGGTACCATTTGCATATCCCTGCAGGTGAGGGTCAGGCCTTTGAGACTCAGGTGCTTATTAATTCCCAAAAGAGAGTCTTTTATGTGCTGGTTCAGAAGGATCTTGGAACCTTTAATTGCAGAGGCATTCAAGGGAAAGCTCTGGGGTGGGAGCCCAAATCCAGAGCCATAGGAAGGGCAGCGGGAGCTCTGCAGTGTCCTAGGGAGGAACAGTGAGGAGGGCACTCAGTTTCTCAGTGTCAGTTCAGCACAGCACCTGCACAACCACTCCTGTCCTCTCTGGGCCAAAGTTCACTTGCTGGGAGTCCTTGGGCCAGCAGGCTTGGGACTCCCTGTCTCCCCGTGTGTGAAGGAAGGGGTCATCCCAGCAGATCACTACTTCCCTCCATCAGGCTCCTGCTCTTACTTGGGATTCTCACCCCTGACTGCCCTGGAGAATCACCTGGGGAGCTTTTTAAAAATACCAGCACCCTGGTCCCACTGCTGGCGATTCTGATTTCATCAGTGGGCCCTGGGCATTGTTTTTATTTATTTATTTATTTTTTGTCTTTTTGAGACAGGGTCTTGCTATGCAGTTCAGGCTAGCCTTGAGCTCACTTTGTAGCCCAGGCTGGTCTCAAACTTGCGATGATCCTCCTGCCTCAGTCTCCCGAGTGCTGGGATTAAAGGCGTGTGCCACCACACCTGACCTTTGTGGTTTTTTTTTGGGGGGGGGCGGTAATTGGTTATTTTTAAAAGGCTCTTCTGATGCTTCTCACCTGCAGCCCAGTCTGAAAGCTACTGCTCAGGACTCCTCCCACCACAGCTTGCCTGGCCCTGGTGTCAGGCCGAACAGGTAGACCTAGTGCTGCCTAGGTCTCAGGGATAGTTCTTCTCTTCTGATGGCAGCCCCTGCCACTGACCAGAAATTCCCTTCTCACAGCTGTGGCCTTGTTCCACCCCACCTCCTTGCCATAGCCACTGGGTGTGTCTAGAGCGGGCTCCTCCGGGACTGGGCAGGGACGGGACATGAGCCCTGTATGGCTGTCCTCCACCCACTTCCTCCAGAGCCTCCACCCCTTCCTACACGCACTCGACCCATGTCAGCCTGTTGGGCTTTACTGCTGCTGGTTCCATGCCTGGACTGGCAGGTCTATCTTGGCTCCACCCCACAGCCCAATTTCCTTGTAACCCCAGAGCTCCAGCCCAGCCCCCGTCCTGCAGAAGGAGTGTAGCATTGTCCACAGCAGCCTGATGTTGGTTTTATGATGATACGCAGCGATGCCTCTTTTGAGGGTCTGCACTGTATTTCTTCCCCACTCTATTTCTTTCAAAGCATGTTTTTAAACAAAACCTCTTAGATGGCCTATTTAAAAAACAAAGCCAATAGGTGGAGCCCACGCATTGCACTGGTGACACGGGCCACTGGCTTCTTTGGGAGTCCATCCTTTTCTCCTGTAACCAAGAGGGAGCTACCTATAGACTCACAAATTCCATAGGCTTCTACCATCTCTGGAAAAACACAAACATTCTCAGCTCTAGAAAATAATGTACCTCTCTCGAGGGCCCACACTCTATTTTCTTTGCGTGTGTACTCTAATTTCTGCCCGATAAACTTCCTTATGCCACTTAAAAATAAAAAGAAATAATACTCAGTGAGCATGGCTGCACTTGGGACTGCCCCAAGCTTCCTGGGGAGGGAACGGGCTTAGAGAAGGTAAGGGGAGTGGGGCGGAGCCTCCTGCACACATGTCTGTCCCCTTTATGGCCAAAACAGTTTGTCTGGCATTCATCGTTTATGGTACTTGTCATACCTCCTGGAACCAAGTAGTGATGAGTACCAAGGTACCACGCAGTCGATGTCTGGCATTGTATGTGTGGATCCCAACCCCAAATTATAGGCCAACCCATGCCACCGGGCCAAAAGAATCATTAGAAAATGCGTATCTGCTGCTTTTATTGACTCTTCTCTTCCCTAGGCCAAAGTTAGCTCAGCAAGATACCTCTTATTCTGCTACTCTGGTTCTTTGGTAAAATGCAAACACAGTTTCATTCTTGGAGAGCCATCCATGCAGGAACCCTTATTCAAGTCAACTGTTACGGGAACAAAAAGCTCAGGAGAACATGGTGCATGGATTTACCCATGTGCTCCGCTGCCCAGCCACAGGGGTTCCTGAGGCCTGAGAGAAGAGAAGGGACAGGCCCCGTCCTGCATCACCCCTTCCCTGGCAGAGACAGCAACCAAGAGTCTAGAGGCCAGCATGGATGGGAGGTTGTCACAAGGCTCAAGGCTCCTCCTTCCTGGCCATCTGCCCTCCTGTGTGTGTGTGTGTGTGTGTGTGTGTGTGTGTGTGTGTGTGTG